CTCAATTGGTTTCAATGACATATTACTTTTTTACTGATAAGATATCTCTTATAGTTGTAATAATAAAAATGCTCTATCTCTTCAGAAACAGGCCAGAAACCCGAACTTTTTTTACCATAGACATAGCTCACTATGGGCTACCAGATGCGCGAAACCCTTAAAAGCGTTCCTTCATCTGGTTAATGTTCCCTTGTCAGCCACCAAGGCGGCATCGATCGAACGTACCTTCATCAACCTGGTATGGTATTGGCAAAAAGAACACAGTCTGTTTCCAATGAGTTAAATCAGCTTTAGGAGATGTCGAAAAACTAACCTAAAATTACAAAGAGGCGCATGCAAACTATAAAGAGATTTAGCTTTCCTTTCAGAATACATACATTTTGCACAAGATTATTCTTAAATTCAACATCGAAATAACAGACAATTCCCGATATTTGTGCAGTTTTAATAACTTCTAATGAAAATGAACTGGTAAACGATATATCAGCACTTGTACAGGTGTAGATATCCAAATTCTGAAAACAATTTTAAAATTGTTAGAAAGATTTTTATAATACTGGGCTGTTCTCTCACTTTGATACAATGTGTATTTGTTACTCTATCACTATCTTGCACAACAACAACATGTCCGTCATTCATTATTTGTTTTCCAATTGTTGACATTTTAAATCCATAAACATCTGACCAATAATCCACATAGTCCGAATATAACTGGTCAGAATGAAAACACGACAAATGAATAGAAAACTGATCAGGTAATACTAAAAGGATAAAATACAATAACGAATTTCTTGAAATTATCTTTCCTCAGAACTAACTAAGTCCATTTTGTTTGTCTAGATAAGTTTCTCTTGCATAGATAATTGACTCTAACATACACTCGAATAATAAGAAATAACCTGAACAAGAAACAATGAATAAATGAATGAATGGATATAGCAAGATGGAAAAAATTATAAATTTACCCATCCATTCTGATATGATTATATCAACCTAAAAATAAAGAAAAAACAAACAGATAAAAACAGTGCATGTAATACTGGAAAAATGAACGATAGAAAACCACTATATCATTTACCTTGTCAACTGGTAATGAAATATCTTCAATTCTTCCATGAATAAATATAATGTTCGATTCGTCAATATTGTTTTCTCTTAACAAAGGAGATAATACACAAACTTTTCGTTAATTTATCTTTATTTCCTTATTTCATATTATGAAATAAAAAGGATAATTCTCTGAACAGTCCTATATGACTAACACTAGTAAAAAAGGTTATTATCAGTCGCACTAATACACTTACACACAGTGTATTGACGCACTGATTTTTGCATAGGGTGGTCGTTTCTCTTTTCCAGAAAAATGTACTATTAATGAATCTATCTCAATAATTTTACGTAGAAACCAAGCAAGCGACGAACCTAGGCAGAAAAAAATCAAGTAAACATAATCACCGATAGCCCATTCAACTTAAAACTTTGATTAAAGGCGATCCTCGATGAATCAATCACTAGTAGGTTTTCTAGAAAAATGGTGAAAAAGTATTTTCCTTTAAAAGGAAAACGGCTATCCTCTGAAAAAATTAGTGAACAAACTCACTGTGCGTAAGTGCATTGCATGAGATTATTAATCACCTTTTTGCTACTATGAGCTCCGAAATTTGTTAGTAATTATTTCGAAATAAAATAAAAATTCTACTTTATCTTACTTAGCTATTGCCATTGCATCATAAATAATATCAGCCATATCGATAGCAATAACTAATTTAGCACCAGCTTTTGCACAAGCCAATGACAAAATACCGGTTCCACAACCAACATCTAACACAATTTTATCTTTGAATAATTCAGCATTTCGTTCTATTACAGATAGATAACTTGAAGTACGCACTTTATCCTATAAAAATGGATTAGTTGTTATATGAAAACTCATTTACAATAAGATAAGTGTGCTAAACATTATTTATAAGAAATATCTTTTTTTTTACATACTTGTAACATTTCTTGATGTATACCATAATGACTATAAGATGAAAAATAATCTTCATCTTCATCAGATAATCTTTTTTTTGGTATGAACGATTGATTGGATTTACTAGCGTTATTATCTTGTTCTTCTAATAATCGAGATGATAGTGTTCTAAAAAAGCATAAGAAATAATGACTTCTACATGCAAGAGTAATAAAAACTTTCAATAAATAAGAGATTAAAATCAGTTCCTTTAAAATCTGAGCCAAATATTGTTTTATTTTTAAAGAAAATGTGAGTGCTAACTTCAACGTTTGAACTTGTTCTTCTAATTGTTGAATTTTTTCATGTGCTATTTTTAGTGCATGCTCATAATTTTTATTTAAATCTTCTTTCTTTTCATCTGATAATATGTTGCTAGCTGAGTCATTTAATTTTAATTGAGATAAATCTTCTTCAATATCTAAGATAAATAATACAATAGTATATTAGTTAGATAATTAGATTGTAAAAAGAAAGCTTATTTTCTTACCAAATTGTAGAGCTGGATCATCTTCAATTGTTGCTTGAAAATATTTTTCATCATTCCATGGTATCGACTTTTGATCTAATTCTTTTAAATAATTGACTGATGGTTTCTAAAATAAAAATAAAGTAATCAATTATTAGATTCATAATAATATGAGTATTATACTTACTTCTTTCCTAACATAATTAATAAATTGAATGTAGTCGTATTGATTCATATTATGTTTACGAATAAAATGGTTTAGATTAAAGTTAAATTTTTGTTCATAGGATTCAAACATCTGACAAATATTTGGATAATTTTTATTTGATTCAAATAGATCTTGGACACTGTTCATAACAGACAAACGTTCTTCTTCTTTAAAATCATCATTATCCGAGCCCAATTCATCTTCACTTGTATAACCATTCATTGTAGTTGGCATCTAAATAAAAAATAAAAACATACTACTACGCTTCGAAAGGTAACTATTAAACTAGTTAAGTAGCAACGTAGATTTTTTGCTCAATTGAACGTTTGTTACAGAATTGACGATTAACATGGAGAAAAAAAAGAAACATGGTCATAAAAATACATCTCGTTTCACAAAATAATTCGTTTGAAAAAACAAGTAACTGTCACATCATAACTTCAATTACCTCTCGTTTATCCTGACCGTTCATAATTGGTTCATCTTCCGTTATAAGTAAAGCATCAACTATAACAAATGAATATATTTATTCTCCCATACCCAGTCACCATACCATTAATAAAAACATTACCACTCCGAACTTCATCGTTAACTGAGCTTTTTCCATAAGATGTTGACCGTTCTACTGATTCTGGTTTCGATAAACTTTCTCTTCCTGATTGTTCTTAGAAAAAAACAAAAACAAACCGTTTGACATATTATAAAACACGTTTCGTATAAGTTGAAATATACCTTGATTCATTTAAATTTGTTTAGTAATAATAATAATAATCACAACAATAATGAGTATATCGATACTGTTCAGTTAATGCTAAAAGAATCATAAGTACTATGTAGAATACATAACAGCTGTTTGACATACTTCAGATAGACAATACATAGAACTTCACTGAGATTGTGTATGCTGAATTACTTACTGATCAAAGATATAAGTATAAAGCAATAAATTTTTGCATACTTAAAAAAATTGCACGAAAAAAAGACAAAAAGGAGAGGGAAACTGTCATCTGTAATTGAGTTTGCAAAACGAAATATATAAAACACAAAAATGTTCAACGAAAAAGAGAAAAATCAAACTGATTTAATTCCAGAAGGTACTAACAATCATGAAACTATTGCTTATTTTACAAAACAAAGTCAAAGTCAACTACAAAAAGTACGAACTGTCAATTGACTAAAACTATAAAAAGTACTAAAGAAAAAAGTTTGAGATTTGAACCAAGACTAACGAAGTCAAATATTCAACTTAGATTTTCTCGAACGTGAGGGTATCGCGAGGTAAAATAATAAAAAGCTAAAAGCGTCATGTCATAAATCATTAGTCACGAAGAATGAGAGTTATCAAAGCTAAATAACAACTAAAGACAGAGAACTAGTGCATGAGCAGAAACAAAATAGAGAGTAAAAAATATGAAAAAGGCAAAGATTGAGTGTAAGAGCTTTTCTGAAAGACATTAAACAAGAAAAACATCTGACTAACTAACTTCAGAAGATTATAACAAAATCAAAAGATTCAAACCAGAGGTATATAAATAAAATAGGAAGGGTGAAGTGTCAATGAATAAAAACTATTTGTAGACAATGAAATGCGAGCGTATTTAGAATGTCTGTAGGGTATATGAGCATAATGAGGATGATGAACAGTGTAGAAAACATAAGAAGATTGATGATGAGCTGCACAAGTTTAAAGTATTTACGAGGAAGAGAGAATTATTACACAAGTAAAAGTTAGAGAAATAATAGCAGAGATTAAAAAGCAAGTTTATTAATAGAAAATACAGAGAGAAAAGAAACTATCATACAAGACATAACAATCACATCGTCGAGTTTATGAAAAATATAAGAAAGAAAAATCCACTACAAACGTCTAGTGGAGTGGAACTAATCTCAAAGCATAACCGAATACTACTAAACTCCGTCTACAACTACGAGCAATATTCCTGACATGCCCAATCTATCATATGCTGTGCAAAACAGCGAGCCAAGTAGCAGAAACAGTAAAGGAATGAAGGGATTAATTGCAATATTGTCAAAGACAAATTGGAGTAAAAATATATCTCAATCGCTAATCAAACCCAGAATGTCTAAAGGGACATCTTTTTTCTGCAAAATCTTTTCGGAACAATATGATGTCCGCGCGCGCACCTTGTCTGGTCTATACCTCTTCAAAATGATTGGGCGCTATCGGGAGCGAATGAGCATAACTCATTCATCCTTTGCCCAGAGCGTTTATACTTCTTTTCAGTACATAATAAAATATTAAAGAAAGATTAAGATTACGACATACGAAGTTACTGAAATAACGAGTCAAAATTTATTTTACTATGTGTTACTTTCCATCTAGCTCTGTAGTATTTACTGAAACCACACTCATAACTTCATCTAGAGTCCTTCCCGGAATAGAAGACCAATACTGCCGACTTTTGTTCAAAGATCAACCTCCTAAAAATTAAGGTCAAACTAAAACAAAAGAAATCCACAATTCGTAAAATTTTAACAGAATTCATTTAATCAAAGTGCATTAGTGCAAAACCGACTTTTTATACGGGGAACAGAATCGGTCCAACTTTTTTTTCTGAAGAGCTTATTAAGTGAATCGACGGGCAGCAAAGTATCTCTTGATTCAAATCACTTTTCGCATTTGGCGCGAATAGCGGCGCCACTTAAAACGCGCTACTATTCGCGCCAAAATGTAAAAAGTGATTTGAATCAAGAGATACTTTGCTGCCCGTCGATTCACTTAATAAGCTCTTCAGAAAAAAAATTTGGACCGATTCTGTTCCCCGTATAAAAAGTCGATTTTGCGCTAATGGTACTTCCATTCAGGTCTGCCCAGTTTATACATGACCCAAGAAGTTCATTGAAAAAGTCATAGTCTATATGCTTTTTCAAGGATGTCAAGTTTCGGTCCTCCTTCTAATAAAGCAACTTTGATCTTATTTTTCTCTGCCTCTACAGAGCTTACACCACCGTTGGGCATACCACACGAAAGAGGACTTCGAGTAGTACAAATACTAATATTGAAAACTTCTCCTAGTACTTTTACAGTGGCAGGCCAGCTATCACAAAATGGTCGAAAATGAAAAAACGGCATTTAGTATTTCCCGTTTTCTGAAAGCAAAACAAAACAAAAAGTACTTGCACTATACATAAAAATGAAGCCAAAGAGCTGATTAATCCAATAGAAAAGGAATACGGTCGATATGTATCTTCCTCTTTGAGTATGAAACCCATCTTTGAAGACCCCTTTTCAAAAACAGTCAACTTTCAGGTCCCGCAGCAGAAAAACTATACGATAGAATTCTTTTATTTTGCTCCCATTTGTAGTACTGGTCGAGCTCTACAAAATGGCATTAAAGATATTTTTAGCCCACTCCATTTTCATCCGCTTTTCTCGATCACAAAAGTCAGATATATCGATTACTGTGTTCATGTTGTCATCTGATTTTCACTCTGTTCTAAGATTCCAGTCAAGGCGAAATGGTTATTAATTCGCAATCCATCTTATTTTTAGCTAAACTAATGCAAAACTGCTTATGTTCAACGAACGCGGCTATAAGTTTCTCGCTAAACTATTTTAAGCGATACTTTTCTCACATCAAATATACGGATTTTCATTGGGCAAAAGTAGACCAATAACATTTTGAGAAAATAGCGTTCTAGAAATAGCATCTCTATAGCTGTTTTAAACCAATTTTGTATCTGCGCTTTGTATGATCATTATTACTATCATACGTATTATCTTTTTCACAACCACCATTTTGTTTTTCGTCAGCTCATCTCCTTCTTTATCACTTTTGCTTTCTTAATGTGCTTCTTCACACTCATTTTCAGATGTATTATATTTTCAGCTTCATTTTCATTATTTTTTTCAATATCAATATAATCATTTTTTTTCCTGCAAAGCAATTTAAAAACTACTGTTTTTTGTTTGGTTTATCTACACTACGCTCTAAAAAAAAATGGCACTCAGGATCAAATTAAGTCGCATTGATATGCCTTATTCTGTGAAAATAAGACACATTAATGCGACTTAATTTCATTCTAAGTCGCATTCTTCTCTAGAGTGTAGGCCTACTACTGTGCTAGAAGCCAACCTCCCTAGTCGAGACTCCCGGCCAAAGTCCTGCAAGAGTTCCGTCACGGGGTCTCGTCGGGAGTCCCGCGGAATTTTTGATAAACTCCTGCGGGAGTCCCGGTAAAATCCCGAAAAATCTAAACAAAATTGAAAAATATCCCACGAGAGTCCCGGCAGGATCCCGTGACGGGAGTCCTTATAAAATCCCACAAGAGTCCCTCAAGACAGCTCGGAAACGTCTTAAATTAAATATTCAACTCTTTTCCGCATTTTGAGATCTCTTCGGACTCTAGAAAATCTATTCTCAAAAAGTTATGGCTTAAAACCCCGCTAGCTATGTTTCGATTTACTTTTTGGAAAAGTATATTACTCGCCGTTTTAATCATAACTTTTTGAGGTTATATTTTCTAGAGTCCAAAGGGATCTCAAAATGCGGAAAACAGTTGAATATTTAATTTAAGACGTTTCCGAACTGTCTATGATTCCACTATGTTTTACTCGGACTTTTCTTCGAGAACATAGTGCAATCAAATTTTAATGATTGCATCGAGCAGACAATGCTTTTCTTATGTTATAATTTTAAATTATAACTTATTATAATCTCTATCTGAAAAGGAAAAATCAGTATGAATAAAGAGGCAGGTAGTAAATTCAGAAGATGTACACAGCAAACTCAGCTCTCTGTTCCCTTATCTAAATAGGACTCATTTTCGCTAGTCATAAAGTTATAGTATCGGATTTTTGGACAAGTTTTGTTTTGAGACACATCTCTTTCACAGATTAACTAAGCACAAAAAAGAATGAAAAGCAACAACTTTTGATATAAAAGCGTCTCTTAAAAGGAATGTTTCTTAAG